CTAAGTTTGCAGAGACGATCGTGTCCCTGAGGTTTTAGGAGGTCTGTCGTGCTGTCCACAGTTTCTTGTCGTTTTCCTCTTTTCCTTGATTTGAAAAGGCACCGCAAACAACAACAACAACAACAACAACAACAACACAGCGTTTTAGAACAGACTGCGGTATTATTTTCTCAGGTGATTATTTGCCTCAGAGATTACATGTTTTTATTAATGACTGGTTTCATTTCATTACTTTGGTAAATCAAAAAATTGATTTTAAAAACAAGAGTTGTTGTTTACTGTAATTTCCCGGTTTATTCTCTGTTCACGATGGCTGTCCAAGGCTGTTGGAAGAAATTCTGAGTGCTTCATTTTTCAGTCTGTTACAAAGGGAATTCAGTCTTGTCCCTGAGCTTGTTTGAGCGGGTGCGCTGAGTGTGTGATCAGTCGACTGTGAACAGTCCCGAGCCCTGCCGTGCTGACCTTGGCTCCCAGCCAGCCGCTGCATCCTGGGCAGCTGTGGCTGTAGGCTGGCGGTCTGACAGGCAGGGCTGTGCCCACCGCCGCACCGCCACAACCCCCACTTCCCCAGTGCCCTGCCCCGACTTGATACCGGACCCCACACGCATCCATCATGACCATATCATCGCTTCCCAAGCTGCCACATGCAGCCACATGTTCACCTGGGATGCGGCGCGGCGTGTGTGTGGAAGAGATGACTTTTTAAACGCTGTGGCGAGTGATTGGGGAACGAGGCGTGAGCTCTGGCCTGCACGCCGCCACAGCGATCTGACAGTTATTTAGCCACTAGTGCTAACGTGGCCCCGTGGCGGTAATGACAGCGTGCGTTAGTGTCTTGGATGGATGTAGGCCACCAGTGTTTGGGAATGATGAGGGATCTGTGATTGATGATCTAATGGTCCCAGAGGAGCAAACACAGTGTGGTTGCGTCAAAACACACACACACACACACACACACACACACACACACTCTCAGACTTACACGAAGCCTGGATTGACCGCTATCCCCCGACTTCTTCTTCCTGCCCTGCTAACTGACCCTGCTAGCCTTTTCATGCTTCCCTTTGGCATTCATAAGAATGAAAGGAAGAGCTCTTATTAAACGATAAAGGTGTTTATTATTACCAGATATGTTTAATTTAAATCAAATACTTTTACATTTAGGGAGGTGCACTTACCTCACGCTAGCTGAGCAACTAAGATGAGGTTAACTGTGGCTACATAGATGTCCAGATGATTACAGCTGTCTGTCCAGTAAATAAACCTGTTTTCTGGCTGTAAAACTCAGTAATTAACTCGTTATATGATGTTCAGTGTAAAGCAAACATTTGCCATTTTTCTGAGAAGCGAGGGTCAGATTATTTCGTGGCTGAGAGCCGTTTCCAGGCAACCACAGAAGACTCCTGAGAACTACAAGTTGCGTTTTTGTTTTTTAGATTGTTGGACAGATTAAGCAAAGGAGATAAAATGCACACATACTGGGAGATGGTTGATCTTTTTTGGTGTTTGGACAGACCCAAGTTGGAGGTTTTAAGCTAACTGGCTCCTAGCTTCATATTTAAATCAGAATCAGAAACAGGTATAGTTTACACAATACGAGAAATTTGTTGTGGTGGGTTGGTGCAACGATGAATATACAGTAAGGTGCAATGTACAAGATAAGAGTATAAAAATAGCTAAAAAAAAAAAAAAGGTAATTAAAAATAAGAATAACTGTAATAGTGCAAAGCAGAAGCAAAAAAAAATTGTGAGGAATTAAAGTTAAATTTATATAAGAACCATACAACTGTAGTGTTGTTTACAAGAACATTGAGGGTGCAGATATGTTGATATTACCATTTCTAAGAATAACACTGGTCTACACCCATTTTGGTGTCAAAGTTTTTTGAGCTGATTTTGGACAATTGCAATGTGCTGAATCCAAATCTTACATTGGTTTTGCTCACTGAGGTCAAAACATGCAATTTATTTGTATTTACCTTTACAAATGTTTCATCAGTTTTTGGATCATTTAACTTATGAAAAGGATTAGAAAATGAATTTTTTTCCTCTAAAATCCGATTTCATATGAGAAATACTAAAATAAATCAATCGCTAATGTCAAAAAATGTATTCAATTTAGTGGCAAAATCGATTTTTTAAAACCGAATTGGCATAAAATCCTGACCTGATACAGAAAAGCAGATGTCATTTCTGCATTCAACACTGCAAAAATGTCCTAAATCAGTTGAAAAATCCTGGACGCCTTCAAAACAATATGTTTTTGTAACCCAGTGTTATCAACAGAGTGCAAATTGAAGGCTTGGAGGAGCAACATGACCAATAACAGTGCAGAACATGAGCAGTCGAATCAGTCTTCTCATTTAACTCACTGAAAGCAAATAAGCCCGTTTCCCAAAATGAATTGTTGTTTGGCCCACAGCCAGCCCCCCCTCCGGCCCTACCACTTGGCCCTATCGCTGCTGTGTTCGGCCGGGTGTCCCGTTTCTTTCGGGGATTGAGAAGTTATGGTTATGTCGCCCTTGGGGGCCATTTGGACGGCTAGATGACCACCACCCCTGGATTCCCCCTAAAGGAACCGGACACCCCACACGGATAGTGGTAGCACCGAGGGGGGAATAGGGATTGGGCCTCTGAAGCATTTTCCTTGTTTTGCAGTCGAAGAGAAGAGGAAATGTTGTTTTTTTTCTCTGCTTGCTTACATTAGCTGTGTAACTGTGTGTATTAGTTTGCTGGAGCTTCTCACGGGGCTGTTGTTGTTATTGAGTCTGTTCATGGTGTGATTAACAGTGTGTGCGGCCTGGCAGGAGCACAATAGGGAATCTCTGAGGATTCCCTCGACACAGCACAACACTCCACTGCCTTTGAAATTACTCCATCACCATCCACTCGCTTAAAAAAAAAAAAAAAAGATGGATAATAAGATTTACTTTTTTTTTTTTTTAACACACACACTATATGTCGAATGCAAAAGGGTACGAGTTGGTGAAAATAGCTCCATAGAAATGCAAGCCCACTGCTGCTCGGTCCCTCTGGTGGGAGTTAATGTAGTTTGGGAAGATGCATTTGACTGGAGCACAGGAGGATTTTCACATGGCTTGGGATTAGCACTGTAACGGAGCATCTTTTATTACATGGGACCCCGAGTTTTCAAAAACCATACTGTGACCGATATTTAGACCTAAGCCCCTGAAGCTGATAACTGTCATGAAAAGGCACTGGTTAAGCTGCAGGAGAAAAAGGCAATTTTTTTAAGCTGCAGGTACCTGGAAACGATGGAGGATTGCATCTTTCTGTTTCTTCCCCCTTCTATTAAACAACACTTTCTTATGATCTGCGTGCATGAAATGGCGTACGACCGTCTTACCGTGCAGACAAAATGTTAGAATATGAAAAAAAAAAGCTTGTTAAAAAACCAGCAAAAATAAATACGGCTTAGAAGTTGGTATCTTATAGATGCATTTATTACAACAAAAATAAAGTTGCTGCAGGTGGAGTTGATTTTATTTTTTTAGCAAGAAAACAGGACAAATATGTTTTGCATTTTCCTGTGTGTTGATGATAATAAGTTGGCAATATAAGGTTCATATGCAGAGGAATTTGGTGGCCTATGCTAATTTTACAGCGCGGTGGTATTTTAGCCCCTTTTTAAAGAGCCCTGTTGGCAGAAAAGCCTGTTTTGCATCAAGTGACATTCTACAGGAAAGTACTTTAGAAGAAAAGAAGCTCAAGAGCAATCTGACTGAAATTAAAATAATGATTCATACATTTTATTTATGAAGCAGTTTTTATGTGGCTTTATGTGCTTTGCAAAA